AGCCCCAGAAGAAAGCAAGGATAATCGTGTCAGGAGGCTTCAGAGCAGCGGGAGAGAGGGGGAAGGGGCTAAAAAAAAAGCCGCTGTGGTGCAGGACCAATGCGTGTGGAGGAGAGTGGAGCCTTGCTTTTCAGGTGTGACTCCTGGGCCCACCTGTGGGGCCAGCCTCAGCTGCCAGTGCATCTGAGCAAACCTCAGAAGGCATTTAGCGCCGGCCTTTCCTTGACTTGGCCTCAGCAGTTGAGTTAGTGGGGCAAGTAGGAGTGTCAGGGCCTGAGGCTGAGGTGGGCACTTCCACTGAATATGCCAGACAGGCCCCAGGGAGGTCGATAGATACACAGTAGTTTTGTTTGTTTTTTGTCGTAAAATTTTTATCTTAATTTAAGACCCAGGAATTCTCATTTTAGACCAGTTGTGCTTATATTAAAAAGTATGACTCATGCCCGCTGGTATAGCTCAGCAGTTGAGCATCGACCTAGGAACCAAGAGGTCACCTGGTCAGGGCACTTGCCCCGGGTTGTGGGCTCCATCCCTTTTGAGGGGCACCCAGGAGGCAGCAGATCCATGAGGTTTCTCATCGGTGTTTCTATCTTCCTATCCCTCTCCCTTCCTCTCTCTCAAAAATCAATGAAAACATTTTTTTGAAGTATGAATCATGAGCAAATGGTCATGCAGGAAACTATCCCCTGCTCACTCAGCCCCGGAAAAGGCCAGTACTGGGAGTGAACAGAGCGCAGAGGAAATGGGCGCAGGTGGCAAAGGGGTGTGGGGGCTGCAGCCCTATCTTTGGGGAGGAGCCTTTGGAAGGGAAGGGCTCCCTGGAGTCTGTTATTGGAACACAGAAGCCTGCCTTGGGGTACGCGGAAGACTGTCCCTGCCAGTGAAACCAAACCACCTTCTGAAACTTTCCACTGGGGCTATCTTGCAGGAGGAGCTCAAGTCTCTGTCTGGTAACCCTCACACCTAGTGGGTGGCAGTGGGGGAGGGGCTGGAAGGGGAGGCAGAACAGCAGGAAATGGAGCATTTGGGGGTTAAAAGTTGCCCGGATCCAATGTGACTTAGTGGAAAGATGGATTTGGTGTCCCAGGGCCCAATTTAACATTCTGACTTTGTTTATATCTATGTGACTTCAAGCAGGTCTCTCTCAGACTCACTGTATCTACAAAGTGGGACAAACAATGCCCACTTTTACAAAGTGGTCCTGAGGGTGGAGCGGAAGAAAATGTAGAGGCAGGTTGCAGAGTCTACAGCACAGAACAGTGAGGGGATCTGCATACAGGTCGCCACTTAAATGGATAAGGAGTGTCCCCCTACTGAGGTCACACACGGCCTCTCCCTCCGACCGCTGAGGCAGAGCCTGCTGCCCACCCGTCCTAGCGGCTGGCTTGCTCCCGGTCTCCAGCATCTCCACAGCTACACAGCTTTCCTCTGGCGGAAAGGAGCTGGGAAATGTGGCCTCGGCCAGAGCAGAAGGGGCCTTTATGTGCACCAGCAAAGACCCAGTTACTGAGTCCAAACTGGGCTGCCTCCCCAGTTATCTCCTCTACTCTTCTGGTCTCTGCTCTTCAGACGCCAAGTTTAAACCCAGAACAAAAGCTTCTGTCTGGACTGATTTATAATCCAGATCTGCTGATGGGGCCCGAAAGCATTCCTCCCCTGCAGGGCTGTAGCAGCTTAAAGCAACCACCCTAGCCTCGGGGCCTCTCTTCGCCTCTGCCCTCTGCTCCTGGCCAGGAGGTGGCATCTCTCTGGGTGCTGGCCTCTGTCCACCTCCCAGTTCGGAGGACCAGCTGGCAACATCACCCAGTTACTTCTAGGAGCGGCTGTGGGCGGAGACTGGCGGTTCAGAAGGTGGCAGATCTGCAGCGTGGCTACCCTCAGCCCCTTTCATCTGAATATCGGGGCTCCTGTCAATTGTTAGCCCCCCCAGAGGCACAGAAGGAATCCTTCCTGGAGTGGCTCTGTGCCCCCGGCTAGAAGGAGCTGGGCGAGGGGCGCTGAGGGGTCCCCGTGCCTGTGGAGGAAAAGCCAGGGCAGTGTCTCCGCAGACAGGGGTCTTCCTGGCCAGGGAGGCCCGTGCAGTCCGGCTGCAGGGCCGGCGGTCGGCCCAGAGGAGGGGCCGCGCTCCCCGGCGCCGCTCTCGCACACTCGCCCCGAAGCCCCTCCCGAGCCCGGCCGCGGGAGACACTTCGAGAGGCCGGTGAGTCCGCTTCCCCGGACAATGCCGGCGCCCGTCCCGCCCCCCCGTCCGGAGCCACGGAGAGCCCGCGACTCCCGCGCGTGGCCGGCAGGGCAGGGGCTGGACGCGGGGACGGACCTCGGGGAGCGAAGCGGGTCGGCGGCCGCAGCCCTCCCGGGCC